TCCCTTCTTTTCTTCTCCTTATCCAAACGGCCACACTCCTCTCCTCCTTATCCTGTCACCCCTCTCCCCCCCCCTCTCTCTCTCTCTCTCTCTCTCTCTCTCTCTCTCTCTCGAGCGTAGCTCTCAGCTCACCAGCGCTTGACCGCTTCCTTCAGGGCGGTTCCTCTCCGGGCCTCCGCCCTTCTCGTCCACCTCCTTCGCTGGGGCGCAGCAACTAACACCGTGGTCCACCTCTGGCGCGCCCATGCTTGGCTGGCCCGTGCTCCTCCTCCACGGCTTTGGCGCCTCGGCGGCGTGGCAGTGGGCCCTGCCTCAAGCAGCCTCCTCGCGGCCAGCCTCGACCCCATCGTCCCGGACCTCCTCTTCTTGGCGCCTCCTCGTCCACGGTCCCCGACCGTCCGACACCTTCCGGGCCGGGAGAGGGGGGGCGGTGAAATGGGGCTGGAGCTGAGCTCGAGGAGGCGGCTGGAGCGAGTGGAGATCGAGCGCAGGTGGGCGGAGCTCGAGGCCGGCGCGGCGGCCGCCGTCGGCGTGTGGCGTCGGGGAGGAGAGCAAGCGGGGGACAGGGATGGAAAGTGACGAGCTCGAGCCGGAATAAGCCAGTATTTTTGGCTTCTCGCGTGGGGAGGAACTGAGTCACCGGGTTTTGCGGGGCTTTTGCCTGTGGCCGTTTGGCAGGGCTTCGCTCCAAGCCGCTCGAGAAGCTTAGGCACCAGTCTGTCTGCCTGCCTGCCTGCCTGCCTTGGACGAGTCGTACGTAGGCCTCGTGTGCGTGCGTGCGACTGCTCCGTCGCGGTGTCGTAGTCAGCCAATACGTCTCGGAACCTGAGACCGGTCGCCGGAAGCGAATCGATGTGACTGGCCAGGAACGCTGGCGCGGTCGTATCACTCCACTAGGTAGCCGTTCCTTCAAGTGCTCTCCAGTTGAAACTTGCGATACACTAAACCAAGTGACCAGCGCGCAGCCGCAACGAGCGAGCGAGCGAGTATTCAGCTGCATGCTGCCGGCCGGCCGGCCGCCCGTGCGCTGGGTCAGGGGTGCATGCCGCATGCGTAGAACGGAGGAGAAGACGGTCAACGACGGCGCTCGGCGTGGCTTTTACAAGTCGGTGGATCGGCCGGCCTCCGTGATCGCGACAGGAAATGCAGCGCGGGCGGTCGTGGCGGCGCCGGACTTTCGGCCGTTGATCCGTGTTGTACTTGTATATATATATGTAACGGAGAAAGAAGGGGCGACGCGGCGGGGGTTGTAAGCTGGAACCGCGGCCCCCAGGGACCAAAACCTGGCGGCATGAAAACTGGAACCGCATACGTGCGTGGCTAGTGCCATCACGCTGACATGGTTGTGGTTGAACGCGACGGTCGAATCAGCCGCGCAGTCCGTCATGCACTTAGCTACGTCGCCGTCAAGGCTGCAGGCTTCCCGGCCGCATTTGTTTTCTCCACCTTGGATATGCATGCATGATTCAGAGGAGACGTGGACACCCGCGTGCTGCCTCCAGCTGTCAGGATAGATATACATGGACGGACGTCGCGACTCGATCGGAGGTCGACGTGAGCTAGAAGCAAAACTAATTTCCTAGTAGTAAGCTTTTGGGAAAAGTTGGAATTTGGCTACTGTAGCATTTTCGTTTTTATTTGATAATTAGTGTTCAATCATGGACTAATTAGGCTCAAAACGTTCGTCTCGCGATTTTCAACCAAACTGTGCAATTAGTTTTTTTTCGTCTATATTTAATGCTCCATACACGTATCGCAAGATTTAATGAATGATAGCTACTGTAGCACTTTTTGGGAAAAGTTTTTGGAACTAAACGCGCGCTAAGTATGGACGAAAGCAGTGATTTGTACGTCCATGCCGGCAAGTGGCCTTACAATATACAACTTTCAGCTCAGGTAAGAATTATTGTGAAAGAACGCTGATAATCTGAATAAATATTGCCCTTGATAGAAATTATATACTTGAAGGATACGTACAGCCTATAATCTATATGAGAGTAAAGTGCCGTTAGTTCGAACATAAATGCAAAATTCTGAAATTCACCTTCACAAAACTAGTGTATTGATTTTTTTTGAATCACTGACAATTCTCAAAATTCACCAAGTCACCATAAGGCTCTCGCTGAGTCGCTGTCAACGAGCCGGGCACATCGCCTCAATAACGCCGTCAAAATTCTGAAATAATTTCAGGAAAGCGCGTACCAAGAAGACTTAAACTCGGATATGTATGTTACACCACAACAAATCTAATCAACTGAGTTGTGCAATGTCTGCTAGTGTATAGACGTTGAAAATCATATATGAAAGATGATAGTGTACAGCCTGTAAATTTTCTAAATTAATCTTTTCCCCAATTTAACATATGAAATTGTCAAATAGCACCCCACTACGGGGGTGTTCGTTGCAGATTTAAGCTGCAGCCGCAGCAGTTGTAGCTGCAGTTTCCTCCTTACCATGAAGCACGATAGATTGAACTAAAAAAGATGCAGCGTCTACGGCTTTAATATGAAACGAACACCTTTTGGATGATCGTCTGAAACATAGTGCCTTACAACTGCATGTACTGCCAATTTTTTTGCAATAACTTACAACAACATCTTCTTATAAAATCCCTACATATGAAATTGTGCTTATATTTTTTGATTTATTTTAGGACTTGTCAGCGTTTTTATTTCAGTAATAGGCGACATATACCGTCGATAGTGAAACGTTTATGGTGACTTTGTCAATCTTGAGAAGTTTATAGAGATGAGTGTGTGCATTTATCAATGTCCATGTATGTACCATAAAAAAAAAAAAGAAAGAAAGAAAATAGTTTAATCGTAATACAATAAAAGAACTTGACTTTCTTATTAGATAAAGAAACCTTGAAGAGTCGAAGCACGATTAACAATCGAGCAGAAGTTGACAAACACTGCAAAGGTGCAAAGAGTAATCAATCCTAGGCGTTTGACATATCAGCCGGGCCAATCGGATGATGCAGCGTGCATATGTATCCAGTGATGGCAAGAAGTAAGGACTAAAGGAGGTACTGTAGCTGTGATGAATGAACCTAGAAAGAGGAGCACGTTGCTAGTCTGTTGGAGAGGCCTCGCCCGCTATCGAGGGGACATGAATGAATTGATCGACAGAACGTGAACCGCCGTTCATTTCATCTTCTCAGATTGATGGACCGTTGACTGGAACGGAGAGATGATTCGTTATTCCACGCCAGACGTGGCCGATCGATTGGGCGGCACTGCAGCGATCATGTCCTCGGTTACGGCACGCACAATCGGCGCACAACTGCCGTACGCAGATGCATTGCATCGTGCGTATCGGGAGTTCAAAAAAGTTTTCCAAAAGTGATATAGTAGCCATTACATCAAATCTTGCTATACGTGCATGGAGCATTAAATGTAAACGAAAAACAAACTAATTATACAGTTTGGTTGAAAATCACGATACAAACGTTTTAAGCCTAATTAGTTCATGATCGAACACTAATTACCAAATAAAAATGAAAGTGCTACAGTAGCTAAATTCCCAAATTTCATCAACTAAACACGCCAGAATTCCTACAACTCACGAGCAGCAGCAGTTGATATTTGTCAGTCTTTGTATTTATGTTTCAAATGATAAAATTTTAGTGGTTTGTACGGTACAGAGGAGTAACTAGTATTACCGTCGATATCCCATCCGTTCCAAATTATAAATGATTTTAACTTTTTTTAGTGCATATATTTTACTTGAATAAACTAAAAAAATCGAAAACGATTTATAATTTGGAACGGATGAAATACTTTAATTAACCGCTGGCTTTTGAGGCATCGAAACAGTGTCCATCCTCTCGGGGCTCGAAGGAGTGGAGTTGAGAGGGCGAGTCATTTTTTATGCGGACTGCCGGTGCCGGTGCCGATGGCGTCCGCCGCACACGCGAGCGGAGCCGAGCTACCCACCGCCCGCTGCCGCTGGGATCTCGGACCTCTCTGTGCCTGCGCTTCCGGCCGGGGCCGACCATGCGCGGTACTACATGTGGTGATGTGGATCCACTTGGCCCCTGCACGTCGCTACTTGCCTGCCTCTGCCCCCGCCGGCCTGGATGCCGGGCGCGCGCACAGGAGGAATCTTCCTTCCTGCGGCCTGCGTGAGCCGTGAGCGAGGTCGATTGGTTTTTGCGTCTACGTACCTGTTAGCAACAATTCAGCCAAGTGGGTGTGAAATTACTGTGCAGTGAAAATACATGTTCGCAGCTAAAATGGGAGCGTGTGAGCAGGATCCCTGTCATCAGACCTCTCGTGGAAACAGAGTCTGACTCTTCTACGTTAGGTTTGCACACGTGTCTTTACTAGTCAGTCTTCGTTCGGTCTCTTTATGCAAATCACGTGCACAATTTCGGTTACCTCTTTCGCCACTTGCACGAGACGAAGGCAGTGCCGTCGTTTTGACGGCCGACGGGCGACGGCTGCGCGGCGCAAGATTGCATTGCATGGCGGGCCCGCTAGCACTACCAGCATGGTTTGGTGATTGACACCGCCACGCGGCTTGGACCCGGTGTTGTGCTGTGTGCGTGCTACACTACTCCGGCGTTAGCCCGCGCCGGTGACCAGGTCGTCACGCGGCTCGCCTCACTGGAGGACCACCAGACACTGACCCGGAGCCGGAGGCCGGAGCAAGCTGCGGCGAAAGCCGTGAACGGTTTGTGTTTTGTTCCCACGTCGGCACCTCACCTGCAGCTAAAAATGCTCTCTTTTGTTTTCTTTTATTCTTTTCATTTTCAAAAATAAAAAAAGGAAACGGTGAAAGAGAAAAGAATCTTGCGTGTCAGCGCTAGATACTGTATGTTGAATCTCTGTGACAATAATCAGCAAAATCTTTACATGCTAATTACCAAATGTGGTGAACAAATTTGTCACTCTGTCAGCCTCTGATTCCTCCTCCCCCGCCACAGAAAATGGTGGGCAATAGAAAAAGGGGGAAAAGAGTAGATTAGAGCACACATGCAGCCGGCGCTGTAGCTATCAACACTGATCAGAGTGAGCATTCGCTTGCTCGATGTCCGTGTCGCCAAGCAACAGGCGCGACTTCTCGTCTCCGCCAGCCTTGTCGTCGCTGTCCTTGGCTCCGGTGAGCTGCCTCGAGCGCTTGGCCTCGCACGCCCAGTCCGTGCGGCCGATGACCAGCAGCATGCGCACCATGCAGGTGGCCTGCGCCGCCAGGAGCCCGAACCAGAGGCCCTTGAAGTCGTAGTGGAGCCAGAAGGCCAGGACGAGCGCCACCGGCGTGCCCACGAGGTAGAAGGACCGGAGGTTGATGCTGGCCGCGTCCTTGGGCCTGGCGCTGCCGCGCAGCACGCCGCAGCCCGTGGTCTGCGGGCAGTTGCCGAGCTCGCACAGGCCGAGGATGGGCAGCACCGACGCGGTGAGCGCGATGATCGCCGGGTCGGCCGTGAACATGCTCGCCCACACGTTCCGCACCGCGAACGCGAACGCGGAGGCCAAGCCGCCGAAGGCGAAGCCGAGCATGAGCCCCACCGTGGCGGCGCGGCTCGCCTCCTCGGGGCGGTTCGCGCCCAGCTCGTTGCTGACGCGGGTGGACACGCCGATGCCGAGGGAGGAGGGGAAGATGTAGATGAGCGACGTGGTCTGGATCAGGATGCCCATGGACGCCACCGTGGCCTGCGGGTTCAGCAGTAGGCCGCACAGCAGCAGCATGATCTCGTACCACCACCACTCGAGGCAGACGCTGACGCAGCTTGGCAGCGCCAGGCTGACGAGCTCGCCCCAGCCGCGGAAGCTCTCGCGGGAGAGCACGAAGCCGCCGGTGCGCCTGTGGACGCCCTTGAAGAAGATGTAAGCGAGGAGGAAGAGGAGGAGGTTCAGGTTGGCCAGCACGGAGGCGAATGCCACCCCCCTGATGCCGAGGCCGAGGACGGTGACGAGGACGTAGTTGATGGGGAGGTGGATGGCAATGGCGAGCGCGGCGCAGACCGTGAGCGGGAGGTTGATGGACTGCGCCCGGAGGTATATCCGCACAGGGTGGATGAACGCCTGGAGGACGAGGTCCGGGAGCGACGCCAGGATGTAGGTCTCGGCGACCGCCGCGATGCCGGTGTCCTGGCCGCATAGGAGGAGGAGAGGCCGCATGTGCATCCACAGGCCACCGATGGGAACGGCCGCTGCGATGAGCAGCAGCACCGTCCTCTGCATGGTGATTCCGAGCAGCGAGAAGTTGCCCGCGCCGAATGCCTGCCCGCATATGGGCTCCATGCCCATGGCAAGGCCGGAGAGCACGGAGTACCCGGTGATGTTGGCAAAGCCGATGGCGAGTGACCCGCCGGCGAGGGCCAGGCCGCCGAGACGACCGAGGAAGAGCATCGAAATCATGGAGCGGAGGTAGAGCAGGAGGCCCGTTAGAATCATCGGGAGCGCGAGGCCGAGAATGGACCGCGCCTCTCCACGCGCGTCGCTGGACGACACCAGCGGTGTCATCGGGAACGCCACGCGCAGGGATACGGACAGGGCCTCCTTCACCGCGGCGGCGAGCCGCCCGGGCGACTTGCTCGTGAGCACGGGCACGGTCGGCGCGTCGTCTCCAGCCACCGGGATGTGGACCTCGTCTCCGGCCTTGGCGAGCAAGGGGCAGACGATGACGCAGGGCGCGTCCCCGTGCGGCCGCGCGTCATCCCGGCACGCCACCGTGGCGTCTCCCGCGCACGACGTCATGGCTGGCTGCTGGAGAAACAGAGGAATACCCTGCTCTGCTGGGTGCTGGTTGCCCGCCTGTGCGCGTGCGGTTTCGCGAGGCCGAGGGAGATGAGGAAAGCGCTTCTCAGCTTGTCTCCCCTTTGGAAGCTGGGATGTGGTTGGTGGAGTCGAGACTCGAGAGCCGCGCGGCGCGGGGGACTGGGAAGCCCGGCGATGCCTTTTTATAGGCGTCGAGGGGTGCCCGCCTGGGTGATGGGCTGATGGCAAAGAAGACCCCTTCTCTCGCTAGCTTTTCTCGGCCCTTGACAGCACTTGGATTGGTTCTGTGTTTTGTCTTAGTTGTTGCTGTATCTTTCAACCGAGAGCCGCCCAGAAATTTATTTCATTTCTTGCATGAATTCTTTTCCTGTGGATTGTACAATAACACGTACCTGTAACGGAATACTAAACCAATTCTGCATAACATATATTTGTCCTGGGCATACATGTTGGCTGTACTGGTAGTACTTTTATATTCGGCTTCTGTCACAAACATAAGTTTTGTAACTCCAGTACTTAGCATTAACTAAAATATTAGTGTCACAGCTCTTGGGTAATAAAAATCAAGTTTTGATATTTATGAGTGGTTTGTTTTAGCTTCAAGAGTAAGTTACTTTTGTGGCCATTAGCTTTTTATTCAATGATGTTTCGTTGACTAGACTTTTCCATTGCATTAAGAACGGCATCAGGATAAACAAGTCAGCTTATAAAGACATACTTTTTTTAAATAGGCACCCAAAGTATTTACTAGGATAATTAATTTCTTGCAACCTGCTCAAGTAAACGAAATTAATTAAGATAATTTTGTAACAGATTATTGTTCAGATTCTTTGTTTACTGCGTTTTGGCCGGTCCATTACAAAATTCTAAATGGAAGTACGGTTGTTCAGTTGAGGTTCCTGTCCTGCCTATGGTCGACAAATGGAGGTCTGAACAAATATTTGAATTGTTTGTTTCTTCTTTTATGTTTAACCCTATATGTTAGCTACTTGCTTTAAAAATTATAAAACCTGCCTGGGAACTTGTGGCGTGAAGAGCTGACTTGTGTAGTTTTTGCTAATGCGATCCCGTTGAACTTAAAACTTACTAGCAAGTAGATGCAGTTCAACGAGTACTGTAGGTTATTTTAGATGAAATCAATTCGAATTTTGCTTATACAGGACAGCATTACGACGACTTACCTGAGGGCCTTTGGACTTTTTTGGTCAACTCATTTTTTAGGGCGCCGGCTGTGACTTGACACAGCTTCGTTGCAGACCATCGACGAGAAAAGAAATGAATTGAAGCGCAGGCCTGTTGTATTTTAAGTGTGTATAATAACATATGGTGCAGAAGGTCAACAAATCTGTTCATTTAAACATTATTTTTTAAGATAAGACTGTTAATATTTCAACAATTGTCGCGACGGCATCACGCCATCGATCTCTCGTTGTCGTAAAGCTAATCTATGGGGATACAATATCTCATTGCTTGGTAATTAATGAGATCTCCGTTTTTATGCACTACTGTATCTTTGTTGTTATGTCATCTGTACTTTTGTGCAGAAAAGTTTACATCTTTGTCAATGCAAAAAAAATGGGGAAGCCGGCAATTCTCGCTATGACTCAGATTGATAAGAGCTTGCTGGCTCCTTAGACCAATGCTTGAATTCGATGTAAGAAACAGTGTCATATGTGGGGGAGCTTTTGGTCGGCAAATGCCACGTACAAGTCATATTCGTTTTGGTGCCTTATATATAAGCTATATATTTTAGACCATGTTTGCATTCATTACCTACTAATAGTTAGCTGGCTAATAGCTCATATCTAATATTAGCTAGCTACCTATTAGCTGAAGGGTGTTTGGATGCACGACTAATGAAAAATGCTATTAAGATAACTATTAGCTGCCATTAACTTATTTGGTCCAACTAATAAGATACTCCCTACGTTTCAAATTATAAGACGTTTTGGTTTTTTCTAGATACATTACTGAAAGCTCTTGTTTGGTTTTGGTAAATTGATGAAACCCTAAGTGTTAACCTAGTTTATCAAAATGATTATGAGATAGGCGGCACATTCCAAGTGGTAGAGCAAATGAAGATCATGACATGATGATGATGATGCCATGGTGATGATCAAGTGCTTGGATTTGAAAAGAAGAAAGAGAAAATCAAAAGGCACAAAGCAAAAGTATAAGTGGTAGGAGCCATTTCGTTTCGGTGATCAAGACACTTAGCGAGTGTGATCACATTTATGTTCGATAGCCATACTATTAAGAGGGGTGAAACTCGTATCAAAATACGGTTATCAAAGTGCCACTAGATGCTCTAACTCATTGCATATGCATTTAGAAACTAGTGGAGTGCTAAAACCCTTGAAAATGTTTGTGAAAATATGCTAACACACATGCACAAAGGTGATACACATTGGCCCCGTTCGCGTGCCCTTAAACCCGGCTTGATCCACTTCTTTTTTTCATCCGGAACGGTGTTTTCCTCTCACAAATTCCTCCGAATTCCTCAAAACCATCCAAATTCCTCCAGAACTATACCAGTCGAACACCCCCATTGTGTTTAGCACTTGGGAGCAAGGATTCGAAACTTCACCGGCGCCCTGTACAGAAAAGACAGGGTTTCACAGAGTGGACCGGACACTGGCCTCAACTGGACCGGCGCGTTCGGTCAGTGGAAGCAGTGAAGACGCTGGCGTCGGTCTTCGACCGGACGTTGGGTCACTTCGTGACCGGACGCTGGGTCACTTAGTGACCGGACGCGGAGTGGGTGCATCCGGTCCCGCTAACGTGGCGGCGCAGAGAAGAGGAGAAGGACCAGGCGTTGTTGCTACGTCCGATCATGACTGACCGGACATGTTCGGTCGCAGTTGAGCAGCTCAGGGAGCTATCTGGAATCAATCGGACGCTGCCCCTCCTGCGTCCGGTCGTGATCGAACTGACGCGTCTGGTCGTGACTGGAACCTTACTGAAAGTGACCAGACGCTGGGGTCATGTGTCCGGTCCTACACTGTAGAGCGTCCGGTCACAACTTAAGTGCACTGTTGACCGTTGAGATCGGGCGATCAACATTTGAAGTAGGGGACACGTGGCGAAAATCTGAGGACCGGACGCTGGGGTCCTGCTTCCGATCAATTCGACCGGCGTGTCCGGTCGCCCCGATTTTCAGTGGACTGTGGAGCCAACGACTCTATTTTATGGGGGATTCTATTTTAGCCCCATGGCCAGCTCAAGCTCACTCCTTTGGCCATTTGCATTGACATAGCAACCTTGTGAGCTTAGCCAAAGCCCTCCCACTCATCTACATCATTGATTCATCATCTTTGTGAGATTGGGAGTGAATCCTAGTGCATTGCTTGAGTGTTTGCATCTAGAGGCACTTGGTGTCCGTGTTTCACTGCGGGATTCGCTTGTTACTCTTAGTGGTTGCCGTCACCTAGACGGCTTGGAGCAGCGAGTATCGTCGAGCGGAGGTTGGTGATTGTCTCCGGCTCCGATCGTGGTGATTGTGAGGGGTTCTTGATCTTTCCCCGGCGAAGAACCAAAAGGTACTCTAGTAAATTTCTCGTGGCCTTGTGTGATCCTCATATTGTGTTGGTTGTACGGTACCTTATTGAAGGTTTGGCGTGTGATGCCAATTAGCACGTGAACCTCCAAGTAAGTGTATCGTCACAACGAGGACTAGCTTGCCGGCAAGCAAGTGAACCTCGATAAAAATCATTGTGTCATAGTTTGATTCCGAGGTAATTGGTCTTCATTGGTATTCATTCTTGTGATTGATTGGTTCATTCCTCGACTCGTCGGTATAACCATCTTGCTATATTTCTTTATATTGTCGTAAACTAGTTGTCAAGCCCTTTAGTGTAGCTAGTCGTTAGAGCTTGTTAGTTTGGTTAGTGTGGCTCTTTAGTTAGCATTTGAGAGCATACTAACTTAGTATAGTGACATAGCCATTGTGTGAATAGAGACTATATAAACTAGAATTGTGGTAGGTGGCTTGTATGTTTAGTAGGCTAGCGCAACACTCGCTTCGCCTCATATTTGTCTAACCAGTTTGCTAAGTGTTGTTGTAGAAATTTTTAATAGGCTATTCATCACTTCTCTAGCCATTAGGACCTTTCAATTGCTTTTGCTGTTCACATAGTTATACATAATGTCTAGATACTTAGTAAAAAAATGCATCTAGAAAAGTCAAAACGTCTTATAGTTTAGAATGAAGGGAGTAGTTATTATCTAGAGATCTAGGTAACAATTATCTATTTTATTAGGTGCACCTACTTGATTCAAAAGAGATAAGTATTAGAATATTTTTCAACCTCCAACTCGAATGAAGTTCGATTTTCAACTTTAACTATGAAATCGACTAACAGACACTCTCCAACTGTCAAAACCGGATAAATTTTGTCCTCGACCGGTTTTAAAAGCGATTTTCTATTTTTCTAATAATAATAAAATCCGATTTAATCTCTAGAAGTTCATATTTAATTTATTTTATATTATAAAAATAAGAAACTATATATATGTTGATGCTATATTTAAAATTGTTTAGATCTTATATGTTTTAAATAAATAACAAACGTGACAACAAGTAATAAAGCAATAGGAACATAAATAAACTAATTCCAAATACCTATATATAGACCATAAACAAGTAGAGAATATTTTTTTTAAAAATACTAGTTTCATCGGCGCGGAATAGCAATGCTACTGTATACATTAATACGGAGCTTGGCGCTCGCGGTCCGCCTCTCGAGTTGTTTTTGGCCAAAAGCAAGGCTTGGCACTCGGTGCGCGCGGAGACGAAGGCAGGGAACTGTCATGTAAAAGAATGAAAAGTGAACAATTTAATTCCGTGCAAAATTTAAAACAATTTTAAATATAGCGTCAACCACTAGTATAGAAAAGACTTTTTTAGAGACGGTTAAAATTAGTTTTCAGAGGCGGTTTAAAAAAGCGCTACAATGACACCGATTGTAAAAATAAGTGAT